CATGAAGGAAAGTAGCAAGCAAAGAGAGAACTCCTTTCAGAAACCCTTGGCTCCTCCCATGTGTATGAGTGCTAATCCCATATATGTGAGCGGAAGCTTCATGGCTTATTTCCCAAAGCCACACCTTCCTATACTGTTACCCTGGGTCCTACATTTCAGTTTTAGGAGACACCATTATTCAAACCATAGCAGCATCACAGGCTATAACTTGAAATTATTTTTTATGACTACAAGTTTCAAAGATGTATCATTCAGGGAGACCTTCTAAAGGCCTACACAGCAAAGCATTTTTCTCACTAAGGATGCCTATCACATGGAGGTAGTTAGGGCTTAATTTATGTATTTAAAATTACAAACTCAGGTGTGGAGAATTTCCACTATCAGTGGTAACACTAGGGCAGTGGGAAAGGAAGTTGGCAGAGTGTGCATTAGCTAGTTAGCAGAGTTTTTATTAAAAATGGTAGCCATTGATTCCACTAAGATTTTATGAGCAATTATGTTGTGCATGCAAAAGACACAAATGTTAACATTTGATAACTTTCACCGAGGACTGCAACACTAAGCTTCAGAGGGAAAAGGGGAGTGCGGGTTTGAGTGCTAATAAGATATCTTCACCCCTTAAAAGGTGGTCATGTCATTACAGTGAATTCTTTCATTTGTGTAAGCATTTTTCTAGTGGATAAGGCGAAGTGTCTATTATGTGGCTGGCCTGATTTGCCTCATTCATTCCTGAAACTCAAAATTTGTTCTTACTTTAGCATAAACTATGGTAGCTTGAATGAGTGTTGAGAATGGATTTACCTCTTTGAAATATTCATCATTCTTGTAGTAGGCACAGACCACTGTTGGGCCAGCTCTGATGCTAAAACTCAGTTTTGTTTTTTCCTTTTGGTGCCAAATGACATTCTTCCCGTTGCCAGCCCATTTTATTTTGAGACAGGATCTCATTTAAATTTCCGGGCTAACCTTAAACTTGTGATCCTCCTGTCTGAGATTAGCCTCCTGATTAGCTAGGATGCATTTTTAAAGTCCTAATTTTGTATATTTTATATTCTAAGGCAACATTGATGTCATTTGTTAAATATTATATGGTTGAGACATTGCCATGTTAAATCTTTAAACCAGGTGACGGCCAGATGAAGAATCACCACAAGCCCCCCCCGAGAGGTTGCAGAGTGGGAGACTGAGGATTTATTTATAATACATGGAGGGCTTTGACCTCTAAAGATAAAAGTGCAAATGTCACAAGTGCTTCTCAAACTGGTCATTTTGGGCACTGTTACTGAAATAATTTTCTCATTCACTTATTTAAATTTCAGGCTATGTTTTGACATGTGCTTCATTTGCATTCTAAATGCATGAATTAGTGGTGTCTGACTCTTATCATTAATTATTTTTTTAAAAAGCCCTTAATATTTACCATTGTGACTGAAAATCAGTTATATAAAGCAAGACAAAATTGTAAGATGTTTTGAAAGCCCAGGAGGTAGCAGGTCGACAGAAGAATGGTTTTGGAGTAAAATCGAAAGATCTAAATGACTGAGCATGTTTTCATCCAATTATTGATTTCCCAAGTATAGTTTCTTAATTTAAGTGTCTAGGCTTTGGTGTGTGTCTTTCGCAGTTACTCATTTTAAAATATTCCATTTTAAAACTCGCTTTTAAAAGTTTGATTTGATTTGATTTTAAAGAGTAAAAACAAGTAACAGGAGCAATAACATACAATAATACATATGGTACAGAATTTTATTAAATGTTTCTCTTGTTTTGTGAATAACTTTTGCAAGCATTTGATACTGACCTTGAACTCACACAGGTTGTCCTCATGCAGGCCTAGTGGCTGCCTGGTAGTGGAGGTGGTCATTTTTCACGTGTTCATAAATAATTTAGTTTTATAGTTACTCTGAGGTGGCGAGGCACAGGGTGATTGAGGAATATTACAGGGGTATTTGACCATGTTGGGGTGGGGTGGGGTGGGCAGGAAAATGTTACTTGCAAATAGCAAAGGAAAATGACAGAGTCCTGAAGGCTAAGGACCAAGTGGGCAGGGAAGCCAGGTGTCTGACAGGACCACCCTGCGCTAGGACCTTGCGCCAGGAGTAAGCAGAGCTGTTGCTGGACAGAAAGACGAGTGGTGGAGCAGAGCGAGATTCTGCCATAGAAGGGCACGCAGCAACCTGGAGCAGGCTCCTTCGGGCCTCAGGTCCAGGGCTGCTTCACTGTCCTGTCAGTGACTGTGAGAACAACCGTGAGCCTTAGGAGGTTTTAAGCACAAGATCCTTCACACTGCTCTGCAGGGAAGAGTTGAAGCTGGGGGACAGTGAGTGCAGAGACCAGGGTGGGGAGTGTTGCTGCAGCATGGCCACAAAAGCCTACGGACTGTTATGTGGGTGATGAAGGATGGAGTCATCATATATTTTAGTAATAATTACAAAATAAAATTAACACATGATGAGTTGAAAGTAACAACTGGCTATCTATAACAAAATTCAGGCCTTCTCAGTATTTAACATCTAGCTGTTGACACAGCAGGACATTGGACACAAAAATACCATTTATGTAAAATGTCACACCTTAAAAAGTAGATGAATAATCTACATCTTTTGCCAGTTATATTCAGCTTAATTTATGTCCTAATATGAACATTTTAAAATAAATTGATCAGTGGTCTTTGTAAATGGCACTGGAACATTCTTCTGGCAACCTTTGTTAAGAAGCCCGTTCACCTATGACTGGTGTCTTCGGTTATTTGGCAAGGTCCTTTGCCCCGTCTGAGACAGGGGAACTGACAGCAAATGTGACCTTCACAGAGGCTTGTTAAGGATTCTGTTCAAGAAAAATTTTATTTCATTCAGAGAATAATACCACTTTCCTGACTTGTGGATTAGATAATAATAAATCATGTTGTAATAATGTCAAAAACTACATCATCAACTTGGTCTCATAAAAATGAAATTACCCCGCATAGCTGCAGCACAAATATGTGCAGGCAACTGCCCACGTGGCAAGTTCGCTCGCCAGCATTTCCAATTTTTCATGCTAGATTAGCATGTTTTGCTTACAGAAGATTCATCATTCTTCTGACTGATATCCAAGAACTTCTCCAAATCATAGAATTGGTTTTCTGGAATAAAACCAACATTCTGCTGCTAATGTTTTTTGTACTGAGAAGTTGAACCCAGACTTCTTTCCTCTTTCCTTTCCTCCCTCTTTTCCATTCTGTGTCTGTTTCTCTTCTTTCTGTTTGGATGAATACCCATTTTTCATGGCACTAACTGTCTTGATGATAACTCCTTTCTTCCCATATTACTTAAATTATCAGTATGACAATTAACTTTATTTTCAGAATGCGTTCAGAATCCAGAAAAATTCAGTGCCTCCACCTTCCATCTCTCGTAGAGCTAATTCCAATTCTTTTCTAAATTATTGACATTATCTTCCTGAGATTCTTTAGGCTTTCTTCCTTGCCCTTGGGGTTCTTCTGCACTGCTAATAACCCTTTAAAAATATAATTTATACTACAACATTCCGTACACCCATGGGCTCTGGCTGCCTGACTCAGTGTAAAATCCATTCCCATTATGACCCTCATGAAGCTCTGTAGCACTAGGTCTGACCTTGGGGGCTCTCCCTCTCTCTAGGTGCACATAACCCTCCTCACCTCCACAGCTTTCCAGCTCCATTCCACAATAAGGCCTCAGCATTCTCCTCCCTGGATACCTTGATTTCTTCCTTTGTTTTATTCAGAGATCTCTTCAATCACTAACTGGTCAAACACCTTTGCTGACTGTCTTATTTAAAATAGATCTTCCTGTATCAATTTCAGTTCATTTTTCCTGACTTAATTTTATTAGTTTTATTCATTACACCCCTAATAAATGTGTGTAATGTTTCTTACCTCTTTATTCTAATTTACCTTCTACTTGGATGTAATCTCAGTGGCATTTGGGATTTCCACCGCTTGCCATGGTCACTATCCACAGCATTTAGAATAGTGTTTCATGCATAATGTTTCATGCAATAGTTACTATTAACTTAGAGAATGAATGATGCAGAATTAAAGCTTTCTAGAATCTAAAAAAGTCAGGGAATTGTTTGCCCTCAGATCTTCTGCAAAACCGAAACCCTGCCAACACATAAGTTTTAGAATTTTTGACCTCCAGTACTATAAGATAAACACTTGGGTTGTTTTCAAACACACTTGTGGCAATATATTTCTGTAGCAGTACAAATGTGGGCACCTCTGCTGAGCTGAGATGCAGCTCTGTGTGCTTTCGAGCCAGTGTTTGAGCACTCTGGGATGCCATTAAAATCGGCATATGTGGTAGTCACTGCTATTATTCTTTAAATATTTCCAGTTCTCCTTTAAGGCATGTGCAGAATTGTACTTCCTGCCCCCTCCCCGGATTTTAGGTGTGACTAGGTAGCCTTCTTGTATTGACAGTAAGTGGAAACACCTATATAACTGCTAGATGAAACTTTTATTTTATCTATCTATCTATCTATCTATCTATCTATCTATCTATCTATCTATCTATCTATTTATTGTATTTTAAGGAAGGGTCTACAGGGTGTTCAGGGTCTCGCTACTAGATTGGACTCATAGTGAGCTACCTGTTTACAGCCTCCCAAGAGCTGGGATTACAGGCGTGAGCCACCACGCCCAATCTCAATTGCAATCTCAGTGCACCTTGGGGGCAGGGGCAGCACTGGCACAGCAGACCCAGGGAACAAACACCCCTTCCCCCCTTCCCCCGCACCTGCTTGCAGGCACTTTAATCCTCTGTGCTATTTGGCTGGCCCTCTAGATAAAACTTTTAAACAAAACATTTAAATTCTAAGAACTAGAGTAATATTCTAAAATATAATTTAAAAGTAAGAATAAACTCATGTTATAGTAACATAAAATATATTTTTATGAAAAAACTGCATTTTTCAAAAATAAAAAATAACTTCATGAGAAAAAAGATGGTTTTATTTATTTTTATTTATTTATTTTTTAAAATATAGAATGCTTCACGAATTTGCATGTCCTCCTTGTGCTGGGGCCATGTTAATCTTCTCTGTATCATTCCCATTTTGGTATATGTGCTGCCGAAACAAGCACAAAAAGCATGTTTTTATATAGATTGAATAATATTTTGCTGAACAGAAGATGTCTGAATTCTCAGCTCTGCTTCCACAGCATTCAAGTGCTCTACCATTGGAAATGGATACTGCTCATTGTTGTTTTCCTCAAAGTGACAAAACTATCCTTTGTTGATCTTTAAAAATACATATTCAATTCTGCAAATATCTGCAAAGTACCTAAGCCCGAGTAACTACAGTTTTTTTTTTTCTAATTATTTTTCAAATGAAAACAGTACTCAGTAAAAAGAGCTGCTGGTTCAGTTTCTTAGCACATGTGCTCGGGCCTTTCCCAGACACACCTCAAGGAGGCATCTTCTCACGCAGCTGGCGCCAGTCCTGGCGTCCTGGAACTCACACTCCTGTGTATAATTCTCTTCCCCTTACCATGGTAGAACTTAGCAAATGGCTGCTTAGCAAACAGGATGTGGCAAGACTGAGAAGGCAATGAGATTCTATTTTATTTATTTATTTATTTATTTATTTATTTATTTTTGTCCAGTGACCTCTGAATTTTTGTTTGTTCACTGAATTTTATTGAGAAAGAAATAGCAACGAGACAGTTTCAAAACAGGGTAGTAGGACAGTTACAATAATTAATACATTGCATATTGTTGTCTTCATAGTAGTTATTCAGAGTATAAGATGTAGACATAGTGTCTTGTCTAAACTCTATTAATACACAAATCTTTTGTCTCATTGAACTAAGAGAAAGTAGCTGTATGTCTATCTTGTTTTGTATACATGGATATATATATATATTTTTTTTTTCACTACAAAATAGACCTAATTTATATCCCTCTTTTTGTTTAGTTTTTTTTGTCAGAGATGGGTGTTCCATTGCCATTCAAATCTTATAGATGTGTGAATTCAGCAAAATAATCCAGTATAGAGGCTGGGATTTCTGAGCTTCTGTCTTTGTCTCCTTCATTTCTGCCTAATAGATGTGTCAACCAGGTGGACACCCTAAAGCAAAGGAATCCTCCCAACAGCCACATCCATGAGCTTGGAAGGGGTCACCTCCCCAGTTGGGCCTTAAGATGCTTGTGATTCCAGTTAACACTTTGTCCAGAATGCTGTAACAAATCTGAGCCAACCAAGCAGTACATGAATTCCTGACCTATAGAAACTGAGAGAATGAATATGTGTTGTTTGAAGTGGATAAATCTGGGAGAGAAATTTGTTACACAGAGATAAGTAACTGATACAACTTGCCACTTCACTATGCAAAACAAATGCTTTATAAACAATTTATTTTTAAATAAACACTTTAAATTTTGGTCACTTTTGAATACTAAAGTGTGTATCTGATGGCCAAGACTTCATGCAATTAATGATTTTTATTGTTTCCTGAAAGACAATCTTATGTTGAGCTAATAGTTTAGTGCAAAATGCTGAAGAATACAGTCTACTAGTATATCTTAGTTAAATAAGTTCTACTGCCTTGATTTGTTCTAAATCAAAACAGTTCTACCCATTATACTTGCACTGTAAGCGCAAATACCTCTACGAGAACTACTGAAGTAGACTATTCTAGTTATTATATCACATAAATTTTTAATTTTCTCCCCCAGATTTATAGCTTTACAACATAATCAGGCTGTCCTAAGGACAGGCAATGCCCAACTCACTTTATTTAGGAAGGATATGTGTTTTACCAATTTTTTATGGTTTTCCTGCTATGGACCTGATGTGATTGACTGCTTATCAATTCCTGACCTCTGCAATGCAGATTCCCTTTAAAGTTCCCCAACTACTTCTCGAGATCCTACCTCTCAAGGAAAAGGCTTTGGGCCAGCCAAATAGCTCGCGATTAAAGCGCCTGCAAGCAGGCGCAGGGACCAGGGATTCAATCCCTGGGTCTGCCGTGCCAGGCCCACCCCCAGGGCTTCCTGAGATGGCAATTGAGACTGGGTGTGGTGGCACGTGCCTGCAATCTCAGCTCTTGGGAGGCTGTAAACAGGTGGATCACTACAAGTCTGATCTAGTAGTGAGACCCTAAACACCCTGTAGATCTTTCCCTTAAAAAAAAAAAAAATTAAAAATTAAAAAAAACAAACAGTTTTGACTCTACTTGCTGCTCTGAATACCTGCATTTGATTTCTAGCTGTCAAGGACATCACTGCAGATATTCTTTTGAGATATGTGCATGTATACTTATTTGTTTTTCTTATGTGTAAATTCTATAAATAATATTTTGATACAATTTTTGAATAGAATTTTGATATGTTTCCAAATATATAGTTCCTTAGTGTCTTCTTACTGTCAGAATTGCAATTAATAAGACTGCTTGGGGCCAGGGAGATGGCTTAGTGGAATAAATGCTTCCCTGGAAAGCGCAAGGGTCTGAGTTCAATCCCCGGTTCCGCCAAAAAATAAAAAATAAAAAAGACTGCTTATGACCAAAGATTTAAAAAATCATACATTTTCCTTCTAAAAGAATAAAAGGACTTGATTATTTTCTATCATTTTGATAGTTAAACCTGTTGTGAGCATACTTCAAATATTCTTTAATAAAATTAAAGGCCATTTCAATCTTAGAACAATTTACACGTTCTAGTTGTGGTTGTAGATTAAGGTGCAAGTAAATAGATTTTTACTGTGAGAACTCAGAATTTCATAGCACAAAAGCAGTTGTTCCAAATATTTAAAATAATTTGTCTTTTCCACAATGAATTTTTTCTAGATTACTAAGCATGTTTCATAGTGATAATAAAGGATTTGTTATTTTAGTATATTTTTACATATATCTGCATAGATTTTTAAGTGTACATGTATGTATACATATGATATAATTATAAAGAAAAAGAAAAAAATCATATTTATCTTGTAGTCATAATTAGCGATTAGCGAGAGTCACGTTTCAAGTTCCTGCTGACTTATTTTTTTATTAAACATGGATTCACAGAAGTTATGAGGTTGTCGTCACTAGTGTAAAATCCAGATGGTGTCCCATATGCTTCCTGCTCCAGAGCATGCTGTGGCCAATTCTGCAGTCTCAGGTGTCTTCACAGTTGATCCTGGTAGCCACAGCTGTGCTGAACCTTAGCAGCTGGAATTGATGCTCTTTACAGGCAAAAGGAGCATCTTGCTCAGGTCTCTGACAGGTTACTATAAGATCGCTTATTATTCCACCACCTCCATTTGCATCATAGATTCAATAAAACTATTACAAGATCACAATGTAGAAGTCTAAAAATAGCCAGATGTTGTCTGTATCTGGCTAATGCCCAGCTCTGCACCTTTAAACCTATTGTTTAAATATATCTGAAAAAAATTCCTAGTGAAGGTAGAATGGGGCAAAATGAAATTTGTTTTTAAAGTAAAATTGCTCTTAAAAGACAGGCACAGCATGCTCTTTGCAGACTGCTGTTTTTCATGTACTGGAGAAGGGACTTACTAACTATCCATGTGCTGATAACTATTTTATGTTTAATGGCCAATGATTCCTACCACGAAAGTTAGGTTCTAGGCTATTCCTACCCTTATTAGTATTGGTAAGATTCTGTGAATGTACCTGGTATCTAATGTTAGATGAAATTGTGCCAAATTACCTTCCCGGAGGACTTGCCAAGCTTAAAGTGGAAGGACAATGCAGGAAGCATATTTTAGAACAGAGGCTGATCAATGATTACAAACCTGGTATCATTTTGTCACCAAGGTGGATTTCAAGGAGAATTTGAAAGCTGAGAAATGGTTTGGAGATTGGGAAGCTGTTTGGTTAAACAAAACTAATAGCAAAGCAAGTAAAAGTATCAGAAGAGAATTTCAGTTTCTCATAGGACACATCTGCACGTCTGTTTCTGATGCTCTCTTGTGCCTTATTTTCTCTTGGCTTCTCACCATTGCCTCCTACTTTGGGTGATCCAGCAAGGATTGTGCAACATCCCTCAGCATCACGGGGGAGGTTATGTAAACTGCAGTTTGCCAGTCCAGTCTGCAAGTGAGAATTTCTCACCTGCAGCTCCCAGCCTGGGTTTGCATTTCCAACAAGGTCGCTGGGTTGTTGCTCCATCTCTGCGCTGGAATCTTGAGCTGTATCTGCCCATTCCTCTTGCAGCTTGTCCCCTGAGCTTGAAGTCAACTCAGGTTTTCATCTTGGCAGTTAGGCAACAGCCCCATTCTACCTTCTCTAGGAATGTTTTTCAGATATGTTTTGCTTTTTCAAACTATAGCTGTCGAGTTAATCAGTTATTGCTACTATCATTAGCAACAGAATGAACTACTACAACTATTATTGCTAACTTCTTTGAACCCCCTACGTGCAAGATAGTAGCTACTTTGAAGTACAGATTTAAACAATATATTAGTAAATCACACCATTCTGTGTATAAATGAAGAAATTCATTTCCAGCAATTTTAATCCCTCTACAGTAAATACTACAGAAGGGTATTTACCACGAAGATTTCCGTAACACCAAAACTCATGTTCTAATACCTTGTTTACACTGCATTCTGATCTCACCTGGAGGTCACTTCTTTCATGCAATCTCTGTCTTATGATTGAATCATGAAATAGAGATTCCTCTCCTTGCTCTTAACCCCAATTTTTTCATATCCCACATACATTTTTTCTGATGGGGGCATTGGAAAAAGAATAAAGTAAATCAATAGATTAATCAGGGGGCCGGGGAGATAGCTCAGTAGAATAAGTGCTTCCCTGGTGAGCACAAGGGTCTGAGTTCAATCCCCTGGTTCTGGAAAAAAAAAAAGTGGTGAGATTAATCAGTATGCCTGGGACAATTAATTGCCTGGTGATGCCTACACAAATAAAATAGCCTGTGAAATAAAATCGCCAATATAGGAAATAGAAAGTTTTAGAAGAACACAGAAGAATTTGCCCTGTGTAAAAACTGACAAGTCTGGGAAATAATGCACATGCCCATTAGGTTCATTTAGCTAGTACAGATTTCAAAAAGTATATAGGATAAGTACACACAATTTGTATTTGTCAATTTAAAGAATAACGCTTCAACCCCT